TATATAAGTATACAGACATATACCGAACATATGTATACCGAACATATGTATACTGAACATATACCATTTTCTGAGTTTATATATGTATACCGAACATATACAGAACATATACTGAAAATAACTTCAGTTCCAAGCGTAAAGTTTTTTTTATAAATGTCATTGTCGTCTTCCACCGATCAAAAAAAGAAAAAAACAAAGAGAGGGAGAGAGAGGAAGGATTTCATAGATCATAAAAAAATAACAGAGAGAGGGAGAGAGAAGAATGGAGAATAAGAGATAAGGGGGTGAAAGAGGGAGAGAGAAGAATGGAGAAGAAGAGGTAAAGGGGAGAGAGAAAGTCTACCTCTAATTGCGCTAATCATTAATTGCATAGTTCAATTAATTATTTTTTATATATCTAGTAATTTTGTAATTAATTTTATGCATGTGGTAATTTTGCAATAAAAAGTGATATGTGTTGTACATAGTGTAATTTCCTCCATAGCTTATGTTATGATGAGATACCTATGAATGCAAAACGAACCAAGAGAGTTGTCATGGACGAATGGCTTTTTCTTGTTCGCAAATAATCAAATCAGGGATTATACCTCATTTGGTAGGCATGATGAAATTAGACTAAATTATTATGAAAATAGTGGATTATGCTGTGCTGATAAAGTTAGACTCATTTTTGTTACATGTGATTGATAATTTAGATAAAATAGTGTTTTCACTCACCACAATGTTTGTTTTCTCTAGATAACTCGTGAGCTATAATGTGTACCATCAATATTGCCCTTATCACTTTCAATAATTTGTCCTATTTTTTTTTATTTTTTTTTTTATTTTTTTAAATCTTCCTTTGTTTCACATAATTTGAAGGGAAAATAAATGCAAAAAATTACCTATTGTTAAGGGCAAACTAAAGGCAAAATAAGATTTTTTTTTTCCCTTCTGCAAGCCTTCCTCGACAACATCGCTTTCGATCTTATTATTTTCCTCATTCAATTTGAAACTTTGTTTGCCAATTTTTTTTCTTTCCCAATAACAATCTTCACCCAATTCCAAAATTTTCATTGGAGGAGATTTTTTTTTTTCTTAAAAATGAAGAAACACCCCGATAGGGTGGGGGATTTTGGCCTGATCCTCAACATGTGTATAATCAAGACCCTAACTGGGTCGATATAAATCACAAGTCTACCCATGTTATTAATAAATAAAAAGAAAAAGATAAAATAATACAAAAACCAAAATAAAAA